CTCAACACCTTGAGGAGACTGGTAGATGAATTTTATTACCTCTCCTTTGAAGAGGAGCAAACGAGACTGAGCAAATCACAGAAGACCAAGTTCAGAACTTAGACCTTGCTTGGACTGCGTTCAATAAGAATATGTGCATTGTTTGTTTTTTTTTTTTTCCCCGGAAAAAGTGAAATAGTCTCATTAAAAGGAATAAACTCTCACAAATAAACTCAGGTCTCCTATGCATTTTTTGGTAGCTTTTTGGTAGACAAACTTCATGTAAATATCAGAGCTATTTGTAAGCCATCCATAAAGGAAGGAGTAGCAGTTGTTTCCCCTATTTTATATTACCAATTGGCAGTTTGTACACCTGGATTTCGAGTTCTTAAATAGAATGAACAGGCAGCAAGTAGAATTGATCTCCAGTTTTAAAAATATACACACCTAAAAGTTACAATATTTGAATTTGGAAAATGTCTGATGAGTAATTTGAATCAGTTTCATTATAAGCTTAATGAACAATTAGAAATGTGGCAAAGATCTATTCTGATGTTTGATAAACCACAAAGAGTGTGGAAATCTGGGATATATTTATATCCAAAGGATTAGCTCCTGTACAGTTTGATGATATTATCCCATCTTTGCTTAAACATAGATTTTCAGGGTTATCCTTATAGACTGATGTTAAAACAAATCAGGTCATTATCAATCACTGGAAAACAAGCTTTTAAAAGGGCTTTGTAATGATAAGTATGAGCTGGAAGGTATTCTTAGCATGTTTACTGTAGGGGGATAGAATATAAGTAAATAAAGGTAGTATAGAATGTAATCTTACCCCCTAAAGAGTTGCAGCTCAGCTAATTATTAACGATTAGGAGCAGGCCTGACTTTACCAGGCCAGAGCTGTAGCCCATAAGCAGAGTGTTATAAAAGTGTGGATTGGTTGGTTGAGGGGAACTGAACTCAGCTGGCTGCTGTGAGGAGGAGGAAGAGTCAGTGCTTGGAGGAGCTGCCTGCAAGAAACATCAAGGAGGTAGGAAACTCGAGCAATATGGAAGCCTTGCAATGTAATGACAACAGTTTACTATGAATGACATTTTGATATGGTATTTGTATTTTAGGATTCAAAAGTCCTAATATCTTTTAGAGAATTTAGTGGAAGTCATGCAGCTCCTATTTATAGTTAGTTTATAGACTGAAATTTTGTCTTGATCTACTAAAACACCTGCCTACCTATGACTTATGCATGACAGCAACATAGAAGCTTAAAGGAAGAGGAAATTAACATCAGATAACAAAACCTCTGCAGTTTCCAGGCCTATCAGCAGATTTTTCAAAACTCAGTCTTTCTTATCAACAAGTCTTAGAGTAGTACTCTGCCTTATGTCATATCTGAGTTACACCAAAATTAGTAAATGCAACTTCCTGCTAGATTTTTGTAAGACTTCTTTTTTACTGTAGTCGTAGAAAGCTGCCATTCCATGCTCATCAGAGAGAACTATATGTTGTAGATAAATTAGAGACTTGAGAGCTTTCTTAAAAGATTATATGTTATGTTACTTCATTTCTAACAGAGTAAAACATCATATATCAAATTATACTACTTTATTTCTAACAAAGGAAAAAACCACTATATGGGTTTGTGTAGTACCAATAACATAATTTAGACATATGAAACATGCCAAGAAAAGCCCCTAAACCTCTAATAGGGCACAGCATGACTTAAAATGATATTGTGTATATTCTGGACGCAATGCAAACAAAAAGAAGTAAGCACAACTAGGTATATGTTTAATGCTCATTTCTCCCATTCCTTGCCCGTTCCTGAAAAATGCACTGAAAAAAATTACCTCAGTGATAATGATGTGATGTGATCCAGTATTGTGGTCAAGGAAACTAAGTCAGTAAAACTCTGGCTGAGACGCAGTGTGTCAGGTGCAGAGTCATGCTGAGCTCTGAGGGAAGATACCACTACTATACAGGTATAAATAAATGTGCTGAGGGCAATCTCTTCCAGTAAGTTCCATGTAAGACTCGGACACCCAATTTTTAAAGACAAATGCTGAGCAGACTGATATCTATAGTCTCTGCCACTGGCCCAGTGACATGGGTAAATCACATGGATCCCTGGAAGAGGAAGATAAGTGGGCTTTATGGAAGGACTTGAGAACTTCTTGACAGAGAAGAGAGATGAGCTCAAGGGTACTAATCAATGACCATACCCTTAGACTTGAGGAGAGAGAAATTCTAGCCCACCACAAACTGCTAATTAACTGAATTTTTGCATGGTGAGGTAAGCCTTGCAAAGGAGGCCAATCTTTTGTTGTTTACAGGGCCTGACTCTTTCAAATAGTTTAAGTTACTGTGGTTAAAATTCCTTTTCAAAGTCAGTGTTCATTGGCATTCCTACTGCTCTAAAAGGAAGCTAGGCTTAGCTGGAAATGTTAGGCAAATTTGTGATCAGATGACTCTGTGAGTCATTAGGTTACAATCCAGAAAGGCTATGACAAAAAAGGGTGTTAGTATACTTACCTGAATCACATCTGTGCACATCTATGGTTTGGAAACATATCAACCCCTTAGCAAATAATTGGGAATGACAATTCCTTGTCTGAGATAGATGCTGCAAAAGCATTAATAAAAGGACAAGCAAGATCACAATAAATTTCTTTTGATTGTTAAAAAAGGCAAATCCAAAAATTTCTTGCATATTAAAAATGTAGGAGGTAAAATGAACTGGGTTATTTATTTATTTTTTGTACACAGATAATTACGTATCTAATAATTAGCACTTGCAGCTGGATGTTTAAAAGTGCTTGGGCACTGGTGGGATTGGTGCTGTAATACTGAAATGCAAACTTCTAATCTGGAAGTTTTGGAGAGTGAAAAAGTTATTTGCATTCAAAATTGTGATCCTGAAACCTCACTTTAGTACCATGGCACCAACAGTTTTCAACAGTCCCCCTACTAGTAAGGCTGTATTTAGTGTGTAGGAAGCAGTCTTTTAAAGAACCCAGGTTTACTTGTTCCTAAATTAGCACCTGTATAATTGGCCTCTTTATCTCTGTATATCTTTGCTTCTGTTTTGCTTTGGTAGGGTGAGCAGCAGACTTCAGACTTCAGCTGCAACACTGCAAACCCTCTGAAACCTCCTTGGATTTAGACAAGACGAGAACTGAAGTGTCAATTAAAGTGTCAAGAGGATGTGTATGCTCGCCAATGAACTACATTAAAGTACTTTCTGTATCACTCAGTGTAATAAAATGCTGGTTTCATCTAAGTGACAGTTTTTCACAGACTGGGTGAGTTCCAAGAATTGGGGAATTCCTGGAAATTACTGCAAGCTTAGCACCTTTAGGGTTTGTTTTGTGGG